ATAATAATAATAATAATAATAATAATAAAAGTGGTCCATCTTTAAAACAACATGGATTTCTCTAAACTGTGACCAAATAGCTGTCTTTTTCTAAAAGATAAGAAAAGAAACTAATTTTTTATATCATCTCCTCCACTTTTTGTGCAATCCCTCAGTTCTTCGTTGCATGAAAGAGTCCCCATCGTTGGTCTCCACTTTTGGAACGTTCCAGTTTTTCTTTCCATCCATTAATGATCGCAAAATAGTCCCCTTCAGAAAACTCCTGCAGGGAGAAATGACGGACATGTTGAGAAACCATACAAACACCTGTTTAATAACATGACTACAAGTAAAGCTTATAGTGAAATCGGATGCAGATTCTAAATACTGACCTTAATAAATTCATCTTTAATGTCCACGGCTCTCTGCAGCTCGGACTCGATCACTTGGATAAATTGGGTCGTCCGATCCTCTGCTTGAACTCTACAGAAACCAGCTTCCTGAATGAACTGCAAGGTGGGACAGAGAGAGGAGGACGGGTAGAGTGAAAACAACACCACCTACTGATAAAATATAAGTAATGCATCATCAGAAGACAGCTTTCTTATGGCTCCTAATCCCACTGTTACACAAAACCATCAGTTCACCAAGTTAAAATAAAATGTTTGGATTAAAAAAAATCATCACAACGATTCGTGTTAAAATGAGTTTTTAACACTCTGGTTCAGGTCTACCAGTGGTTGGTAGTAAGTGGTTACATTTATTTGAGTAACATTTTTAGAAAAAAAAAAACAATGTACTTTTAGGAGTAGTATTACTACACTGTACTTTTTACTTTACTTGAATAATTCCACTATGAAGTATTGCTACTCTTACATGAAGAAAATTTCGGAATACTCCACCCATCGTAAGTAGTTTTAACCATATATTTATTTAAATATTGTATATACGTATATGGGAAAACTGTGACTTAGAAAAGTGTTTCTTCTGCAGTTATTTGTTATTTTGTAAATATTTTATTTATTTGTATTAATTTTCTTCCTTTTAGTCATTAAAAACATTACAATTTGCACATAACTTTCTATTTTTTGTCAGTCTGGTATCATTTTAAAACATTAAATCAAATGTCAGTTACTCAGTACTCAAGTAGCCTATATACAACATACTTTTTTACTCTTCCTCGAGTCATTTCATGAACAGATAACTTTTACTTTTAGTAAAAATATGTTGAAGTACTCACTACTCAGCTCTACCCTCTGCGTCATATAGAGGCAGCCTTCAGTTTTTATGCTCCACTAAACTGGAACAAAGTCCCAGAAAACTAAGAATGCTGAAACTCTGAGTTCTTGTAAATCAAAATAAAAGCCCTTTTGTTTAGATTCACCTTTAAAATATTAACTCAAACATCAATTTTAGTCTGTGCTCCGAATTTTCTTTCCTTTATTATGCCATTGTTACATTATTTTTCTTTATGTTTTATCAAATAAAGCTTTTAAACATCTTACTGTTTAAATAAACTTGCCTAAAGCTCCTATAATAATGACAGCAAGATATTTGAAAATGTACTCAGTTATTTCAACAAAAAATGCAATCAGTTGGTACAGAGTTCTGCATCATTCACGTTTGTTATGATAAGATAACAGTTTCATAATCAGCCTATTTCAATTATTACTTTGAACAAATATTACAGGCTGTACACTGAATTTGAGGGATTGATTAGGAGACGATTTATGTCAAACTTTAACCATATAGCTGAAGCTTCAGTCATATCATAGTTCAATGGATTTGATAGTACTGGGGACATGTGGTCTGATAAAAGGCAACCATTTAGCTACAAACAAGCCAAAGTATCAGTGGTGTGACCAGAGTAGCTCCTCCTCTTAGTAACTTAGTATCATCACCACCGCTGACATTTGTCTGTGAAACATTAACACAACTTATGTGAACACTGCAACTGGAGTTCATTATTCAGTGATGTGACTCAGAACTTATATCATTTTTAACATTTCTGATCTAATCATGAGTTGAACTTTCCAAATATGTGTGAACTGAATTGTTGCGATTCGATAATAAATCAAACTGATGGAAGTTTGTAAAAAAACATAAATTGTCCAATATTTTTAATGATGTTATCAGTCTCCTACATAGACTTTTAACATTTCAGACAGCAAATAAATACATTAAACAGTTATCGATAACACCAGTGATGCACCTGTTGTAGCTACTTAAAAATGATTTTGATATTTGAGTAAAACATTTCAGGATATTTTGGCGGCACGACGGCTCAGTGGTTAGCACCGATGCCTCACAGCAAGAAGGTCCTGGGTTTGATCCCCGGTTTGGACCTGGGGTCTTTCTCTATAGGTTTGCATGTTCTCCTCTTGCTTGTGCGGATTTTCTTGGGGTACTCCGGTTTCCCCCCACCCCTAAAAACACGTACAGTATGTTGCCTCCAGGCCTCCCTTGAAAAAGAGTTCTGAGATTTCAACAGGATTTGCCTAGTTAAATAACGGTAAATAATACATTTTAACCAACCGTCCCTGTTTCCAAACAGAGAGATGACAATTCCAGTAGAAAAAGTGACAGAAATTTCCTAATTTCTGAGGCTCCGCTGCAGTTTTACCTTGCCGTACTCTGCTGGTGTAAACAGGATGTATCCTCTCTGTTTCACGTACGCCTCGAACGCTGCAGTCCAGGGTTTTTCCCCACAGCAGTAATCACTGATAAGCAGCTGGCCGCCCGGCTTTAACCACGACTGGATGCAGAGAAACAAACATTCATTTTAAAAAAATCATCAGGTGGGGGGGAAAAAGAGTTTTATTCAACGTAGGTAGGTTTCATGCATTAATAAAAGACTCACATGGAACTGTTTGAAGAGTGCTAATTTGTCATCTATGTGCAGGATTGTGTCTCTGCTGTAGATCACATCGAATGAACCTTCTGGAAACGTCCTCCTGGTGGCATCAGCTACTTCAAACTGCACCTGAAATTAGGGTTGGGCAATATTGGCAAAAAAAATTAAATTAAAATAAAATAAAAATCACAATTAACTGTGGCATTTAGCCAATAACAATTAATAGACGACAAGTTTCTGACTCTAAAGTTACCCTGTGTTCTAAAATTGGACTTACAAATCATCATTTAACAGGTTAAAATAGTAAGCTGAGTTGAAATCCACCTTTCCCGTAGTATAACATAATTTCCCTTTAGGATCAATAAAGTATTTTTGAATTTGAATTGATATGGAGTGGCAGCATATCTATAGCAACGCAACATGCCACAGGCTCACTTGTGAGCTTGATAGTGGCAAATTTCTTTACAAAAATTTCCCTTTATTTACCTTTTTTAAGGTAAGGGAAGGTTTTTTAAGAACTTTTTAAAGTGCAAACACTATAAAACATAAGTGACAGAGGCAGAGATTACATATTTTAGACAAAGCATTTATCAGTCTTGTTATGATTTTTGTCTGTGTTATGTGTTTTATTTTTAGTTTCTGTCATGTTCATGTTTTCTTCCTCCTGTCTTGCCCTTGCTCCAGCCCCGCCCACTCACACCTGATCCTCATGTTTCTCCCTCAGGTGTTTTCTGTTTAGTAATTGTTGTCAGTGTATTTAAGCCCTGTCCTGTCTCAGTCTTGTGTCAGATCATTGTTTGTATGTCTCTGTTGGATTCTTGTTTTGCCCAGGCTTCCCTGTTCCTGCATCTTGTTAGTTTTCTGTTTTTGCCACCATGCTGGCCTTTAATTTAATACATTTTTTTTGTTAATCTTTCAAGTCTGCCTGCCTGCCTGCAWTTGGGTTCACCCTGCCTCCAAGTCGTATCAAGTCTTTTGACTTTGAACCAAGAAAACAAGGGAGAATTCACAACGTTATACATACTGATGGTAAGTTCTCACTTCTCGCCCTCTCCATGGCGATGTCGACCATGTTGTCTGACAGATCCAAACCAAGAACGTCCACTCCAAACGTCTGAAACACATCACAATCCTCTCGTTTTGATTTGGTTCTTGTAGACATTCTCACCATCTCATCGAGTTGTGGACAGAAGCTCAATCCAGACTTACCTTGGCCATGTAGAAGTCTCCTCCGCCGATACCACAACCGACATCCAGAACCTTCTGCCCAGGCTTTAGGTTCAGTAGGTCCACAAACTCCTGAGAGTACATTTACATTTTTAGCATTTCTTCTGTATTCCTTGCTGAGTTCTCTTATCTTCAGTCTTCCTCTGAACTCGTGGTCCTACCTTGGTGGTACTGGGTCCACCCGTGCTGACGTAGCCAGCTCCGAACATCTTCTCGTAGCGCAGGATGCCTCGGCGGGTGTACTGCTGGTTGTCCAGGAACTGCTGGAAGGTGCTGAACCCGTTCTGCGAGCTGGAGGAGCGGGGCACCTTCTGCAGCAGCCAGCAGATCTGATTCGGATTGTTTTTCATCTGAAACAGGCGAGTAATGCACGGTGGCAGATTTCTTAATGAAAAAATAGGAAACCCCTTAAATGACATCGCTGCTAAAAACTTTACCTCAACGTAGGTCTGAACTTTCCTTTTGAACACAATGTCGAAACCAAACGATCGGCCCCCATCTGGTGCCTCCACCTGTACTGAAGTTACCAGGTGGCTGTACTGGGCCTCGCTGCGGTAACAAGTGGGGTTAAAGTCTCTCTTACAGTCACCTTCAAAGCAAGAGGAAAAAAATTCATGCTCTGTGCTGAATTCATGAAGATACTCAGGCTTCTGTTACAAAACATAATGTTCCTGTGACTCAAACTGTGGCCAGTTTAAACAACATGGTTTGGTTCCTGATTTAGGGAGCGACAGGCTCTGTTTTTAGATAGAAGTTTCCTGACTGAGTTTCAGCACCTGAGCGGTGGTTGCAGGACTCCCTGAAGAAGAGAAAACCACCGGGCTGCAGCCAGCTCAGCATTTTCTCTAAACAGGACTTGAGTTCTTCATCACTCAGGTACATCATCAGCCAGTTGGAGAAGATGAAGCTAAAGCTAAAAGAAACATACACATATTTCTGCGAGGGATGGTAATATATATATTACATGAGGCACAGATTAGAGCAGCTGATGTTTTAACAAAAATATCAAAAGAAAAGTTACATTTAAGAGGTTTGACGCTTTTAACTTTTAGTTCTTGTTTTGATTTTGTGATGATAAATGTTTAATATAGCCAATGTGCAATTTAATCGTGATTTCATGGGAAGTTGTCACTATTATAGCTCACATGCCAAACACAAAACACATTTATTAAAGTAAACAGTTTCTCCTCGTTTTTGTGAAGAATATAAATGAGGATTAGTCCTAAAACAGAAGCTGCAGCCAGGTTGTGTTAAAATACACTCACTGGCCACTTTATTAGGTACACCTGTCCAACTGCTCATCAATGTAAAATGTCGAATCAGCCAATCACATGGCAGCAACTCAATGCATTTGGTCATGTGGACATGACCAAGACAATCTGCTGCAGTTCAAACTGAGCATCAGCATGGAGAAGAAAGCTGATTTAAGTGACTCTGAACGTGGCATGGTTGGGTCTGAGTATTTCAGAAACTGCTGATCTACTGGGATTTTCACCCACATCCATCTCTAGGGTTTACAGAGAATGGTCCGAAAAAGAGAAAAATATCCATGAGCGGCAGGTTTGTGGGAGCAAACGCCTTGTTGATGCCAGAGAATGTCAGATGGGTTGGAGCTGATAGAACGACAACAGTGACTCAAATAACCAGTCGTTACAACCGAGGTCTGCAGAAGAGCATCTCTGAACACACAATACATCGAACCTTGAGGAGGATGGGCTACAGCAGCAGAAGACCACACCGGGTGCCACTCCTGTCAGCTAAGAACAGGAAACTGAGGCTACAATTTGCACAAGCTCACCAAAACTGGACAATGGAAAAACGTTGCCTGGTCTGATGAATCTGGATTTCTGCTGCATCATTCAGATGGTAGGGTCAGAATTTGGCGTCAACAACATGAAAGCATGGATCCATCCTGTCTTGTATCAACGGTTCAGGCTGGTGGTGGTGGTGTCATGGTGTGGGGGATATTTTCCTGACACACTTTGGGCCCCTTGGTACCAATTGAGCATCATGTCAACACCACAGTCTACCTGAGTATTGTTGCTGACCATCAGTGGTGGGCAGCACTAATCTAAAAACTAGCCTTAAAACACTAACTCAAATATTTAGGTCCCCTAATTCTAAAGCACTAACTCAAAWATTTAGGTCCCCTARTTCTAAAGCACTAACTCAAATATTTAGGTCCCCTAATTCTAAAGCACTAACACACTGAAAGTCTTAGCAAAAGCTAATTCTAAAGCACTAAAATAGGCCAGTCAACCCATGAACATTCTTCAACAGACAACATGAGTCACATGTTGCCATGTTGCTCTCTTAATACGTATCATTGACATCCCACAGCTGTATTTGAGTTCATGTATTGTGATCTAGTGGATCAGTGACACACATCTGAACAATATGTGTGTCAGCTTTCACCCTCAGCTGTTAACATTAATGTTGATCAATAACATTTATAGACCTCAGTTAGTGCTTCTAAATTTAGCCTATAAATTTAGCAAGTGCTAATCCACTAATAAAATTTAAAATTAGCAAAAGCCCTAAAGCACTAATCAGGAAATTAGTTCCCCTATTAGTGCTTTAGGGGAACTGTGCCCACCACTGCTGACCATGTCCATCCCTTTATGACCACAGTGTACCATCTTCTGATGGCTCCTTCCAGCAGGATAACACTCCATGTCATAAAGCGTGAATCATCTCAGACTGGTTTCTGAACACAACAATAAGTTCATTGTACTGGAATGGCCTCCACAGTCACCAGATCTCAATCCARTAGAGCATCTTTGGGATGTGGTGGAACGGGAGATTTGCATCATGGATGTGCAGCCGACAAATCTGCAACAACTGAGTGATGCTATCATGTCAATTTGGACCAGACTCTCTGAGGAATGTTTCCAGCACCTTGTTGAAGCTATGCCACCAAGAATTAAGGCAGTTCTAAAGGCAAAAGTGGGGCTCGACCCAGTACTAGCAAGGTGTACCTAATAAAGTGGCCGGTGAGTGTATGTTCTGGTACTGAATATCCATGTAAAGCCTCTCAGCACATTTCTTTGTAAAATAAAGTTTGATAGAACAGCAGCAAAAAAAGGCAAAGATTCCTAACAGCAACAAAAAAAGCAGCTCCACCTGAGTTTTAATGATTCACAAGCTGCACAAGTTTGTTTTCTAACATGCACTGATATTTATGCATACCTGAGTTGGGGCAAATCCAGCTTTGTTACATCAGCTTGAATGAAGGTGCCATTGCTATGGTGACCATTGTCCTTCCTGTTCTTCTCAACAAAGCTTTCCATAAAGTCCACAGCCGTCACGTGAGCAGCCATGGTCAGCAGGCGGCTGGTGAAACGACTGCAGAGGCACAGGATAGTTTTCTGTAGCAGTGGTTCCCAAACTTTTTATCTTCTGACCCACAAAATATCCATGGCAAAAACTTGTGACCCCAAATATCACTGGCCTGAGTACACAAACTCTGTTAATAACCCTAAAAACACAGGCTTTTTGACAATCTAAACAGCTTGTACACAAATATAAATACTTATTTTTACTTATTTTGTGTTTTTGTAATAGTTATAGGGAAAATATTACATCAGCAATTATTTTATTACCCTTTAAATTGATTTCTGGAGATTATCCAAGGTGCTTCATGACCCATAATTGGGTCCCAAGCCCAACTTTGGGAACCAAAGTGCAGTGGTTCCCAAACCTTTCAGCTTTTGACCCACAAAATAACAGTAGCAGAGACCTGTGGCCCCAACTATTTTTGGATGGTAAACATTTGTATCGGGTCAACTAAACATGGGCATAGTAACAATATTTTTATACTACATTTATCCATTTTAAATACACTAACCTCACTCATTTGTAACAACTAAGACAAAAATGTAATTAATTGAGAAAATCTTTTCAGGACCCCACCTTGATGTTTCGGGACCCCACTTTGGGTCCCGACTCCAACTTTGGGAAACACTGTTCTATAGAACAAGTCAAATTCGGCTAATACTGAATGTGCACATAAAATGTCACAACAGCTGCTATAGGTTTATAGCTTTTCCTTCTCTGTGTTAAAAGCAATATTTTAAAAGAAATAATGAATCAAAATTATTAAAAAATAAAATAAAATAAAATAAAAATCAGCTCAGCCCACCCGATCCCAGCTCCCAGCTCCAGCACTCTGTTTCCCGTCAGAGGAGGCAGCATGGAGAGGATCTCCGGCAGCTCCTGCTCAGTCAGCTCCTTGGCACGAGAATCCAGCATCATCTCCTCCATTGTGGCGGCCTTGGAGTGCTCCTTCCAGAACTCCGTCATGTTGCAGCGAACTGTCCAGCGTGCACAGGAAAACGGCCAAAAGGCACATGTGAAAACGCAAAAACACACGACTTTAGACTGCTCCGTCAAACAAAAATGAAACAAGTCAAAGAGAAATAAAAATAGGAGTGCAGTAAAAGTCTGCATGACGACATCCGGTTATTGTGCAACTTGACACAGAACTTCAGGACATGGAAAATTTGTTTTTATAGTTGTGTTCACTTCCAAACTAACTTCTATTAATTCAGTTTACTGAGTCTGGTTGTTATTACACAAGAGAAGTGAAATTCCTGAAACATAAATCTCTACAGAAATACAGATTAACCATTAATCTAAATGGATTAAAGGATCTGTTCACAGGAGCGATGCCACTGAACCAGTTTATAATCATTTAACACGTCTTGTACGTTTTAAATTAAATAGTATTTCCAATTTCCTGAAAAGATTTTTAAAAAGGAACCTTTTCTTTTGTAGACATGTAGCAAAAACCCTGAAAATGTATAAATCCGAGAGCATTTTGGTGTGATGGCGAAAGTCTGAAAACAAAAACTTATTAAAAGTTTGAAAAGCAGCAAAAATGAACACAAAACTCTTTCCTGCACCTGCTGCTTTTCATCCCAACAACTCAGTTCGTATATAAAGCCAGAAGAGAAATAAAAGTTAATATAAAGGGAAGCAGATAATAGCAGATAATAAAAAAAATGAGAATACAAGTAAGTAAT